GTTCCTAGTGTTAGCACAGACCTTCATTCATGCCCTCCAGATATTCTTAGGATGAGACCCAATGTGGAACAACTGCTGCAGGGAAGGGCTTGTCAAGGCAACATGGTTGTAGTAAGTTAAGAGGATGGCTTCAGGGCTATAGAATTCTTAGGCACTTTTCTTCCAAAGCTGGTGGGAGGGGTGGGAGGTCAGATTGTAATCTGGATCCTTCTTATTCTGGACAGACATAAAAATGACTGACATAATGGAGAAGAAATGCTCGCCTGATTTGTCCTTGGTGACAGACTGCATGGAGCATGCTCTGACTGCCTGCTACCCGCGCACCCGATACTCGGCTGGCTGGGATGCCAAACTTCTCTACCTCCCAATGAGCTACATGCCCACTGCCCTGGTGGATGCCATGATCTACTTGAACTCCCCAAGGCCTGCCAAGAGCCTATGAAGACAGGAGTGGGGTGCATGGTAGAGTACATTGAGGTGTTGTATAAGGGAGGGTAGGTTGGGGGATGAAGATAGGGTGGAGGGAGGGAGCTCTCTATGCAGCTTGGGTACACACTCACACCCTTCGACTCCTGCCATACTTCAGGACTACAGGATATTAGTAGAAAAGCATTAAGATTTGCAACTTAGGAATAAGGACCCAATAGCATTTACTCGTGCTGTATTGTCTTGGGTGGCCACGGAAGTATCTGTGTCTCATGGGTCCTTCTACCACTCTGAAGAATGCACATTCTTGGGGAGAGTGTGAGCAGAGGGGAGGCGGCCCAGCCCCCATCTGCTCTGCCTCCAGTCCATCTCAGAATCTGCAGTGGCATGTGGGCTATTTTCACCATTCTTCAGGGTGGAAATGGCCTAGAAGAGGTGAAGACACCCCTATTGTGAAAATAGCTGTGGGCATGGTGGGTAGGGAGGGAGACTTCCTGCCTGTGCTCTTCAGGTCCCAACTGAGCAGGGAGGCCTGTCACTTGAGATTAGGAGGCTATCCCAATCCTGGGAGGAGGGTCCTCTGTTGGGATTGTAAAGCTCTCTCCCTCTCCTGCAAGTGTGTAGACTGCATTTTCTAATGTTGGTTGTTTGGATCCAGGGGAGCACTGCTTGGCCAGCCATCTGCAGAACATTCCTGGAGGTCAGGCCCAGACCTGGGTAGGAGCAGCACCGAGGCATCCTTCTCCAGGTCCAGGCAATCCCTGGATCTCACCTGTCTCCTCGAGAGCTGGAAGAGCCTCTGCCCCTCAGAATACCTGCTCAACCTTTGAGGGGCAGCCTCTGCCTTCTTTCTTCCTAGCTTGCCCCATTCACTTCCCCTGGAGGCAAACAGTCTGGGAAATGTCTCCCAAGCCAGATCTGGAGGTGCTGGGCTGGTGGGGTGGGGGTACAGGTGGGAAGTAGGGGAGATTTTCCTTCCACCACTTCTCACCTCCATCCTCCACTGGCTTCAGGTAACTTCAGATTCAGGGCTGGGTCCATGATCTGAACCCTTCTTGCTAACACTTTTGGTACAGAATGCCCAAGTCCTGCTGATCTCTTCCAAGGTGACACCTCCTTCACTTGATTTTGGGACTGGTCAGTCTTTGTGACAGTGGTGTGTAGAGACACAGCTCTCTCTCCTGCATCTTTGGGGCCCTGACTCAATGTCTGATCTCTAGTCAGGGAGATTTTGGTCCTGGGAATTCTACAGTCTGTAAGGTGACCTGGCAACCAGGTTTATACTGTGTTTCCTGAGTATGATGCTGAAATTTGTTCCAAGTAACCACCCTGGGCCCAGCATCATTCTCTCTCTGCACACTATGGAATCCAGGGCACAGCACCTCACTCTCATATCTTTCTGCCTCATTTTCTTTCCTGGATGACCTCTTATCTTTGACAGTTACTTTCTTCTTTCAACTGGCCTGTCTCTTTGTACTAAGTGTTCCCTAAAGTTCTGGCCTCAGCCCTCTCTCCTCTCACATCTCATCCGCTCTCAGGGCAAAGGACTCTGTGCTACATCTTGCCTCCAGCTGCTCAAGGAACTTGAGGCCTGTGTATGCCATCTAGATGGACCTCAGCTCACTAAGGATCATATCAGAATGCTCTGTGCCCCTACTTCCCCTCCTTGTCCCCAGGGTCTCCTCTCCTGACTTCTTTCATCACCTATGGCTTCTACTCTGCTTTGTTATTGGTGCTGTATTTTGAAATCCCTTTACCCCACCACCACTCAATTTTTAGATATTTTCCATGTTCTCAGATTTCATTAAATGAACGAGATCCATGTCTTCTGTCTACTTAATTTTCCTTACCCGTAGGATGATTATTGCACCTCTCTGTTTGGGTGTCAGGGGAAATCAGCAGGCAAGATCAAATAAGGAGCTGTGTGTGAAGATGCATGTCTTGGTTGTCTAGGGGTGCTATAACAGAAATACCATAAGTGGGAAGTTTTAACCAACGGGAATTTATTCTCTTATAGTTTAAGAGGCTGGAAGTCTGAATTCAGAGTGCAGGCTTTAGGGCCTGGGTGAAGGCCTCTTGACCTTGGGCTTCAGCTCTGCCTCTAGTTCCTGGCATACTGGAGCTAAAGGCTTCTTTCTGACTCACACATCTACTGGCTGCTGAGGCTAACAAACCCAGAGTCAAGAGGTAAAATGGCATAATCCCAAGATCGGCAGGTAATAAAGGAGGCCTGGTTTGAGACCAGGAACAATCTCAAGATCAGAAGACGACACAGCAGGTCACACTGGTTCAAGTCCAAGAATTGGAGATGAAGACTTGGCCAAATGCAGGATCCAAAATGTGCCAAAATGCTAGAGACCTTTTGCAAAGTTTCTCCACATATACTGGAAGCAGGCCACACCCTGTAGGCAACTACTTAGCTGCTCACAGCAGTTTCCACCTGGAGGTGATAACAGTCTCATCACGGGGACTGACTATATCCAGCTGCCTAGCCACCCAAAACCACTGCCTAGCCAAGTTGACACACAACCTTAGCTACCACAACACATTATTGTTTTGTCCTATTTGTGTAAGAGACATCTTTTCCCCAAAGAAATGCCCAAAGGCATTTTATTTGGATATAATATTTGTGCCAGTTGTCAAGAAGCACTGACAAGTTTCAATTTAATCTAAAGTTGCAATAGAAGAAGCAATAAACCTGTATTTGCATTTTAGTTTCTTACCCATATAAACAAGACTTACTGTCTCCCATTATCAATATTTATCGAGCATTTACAATGTACTATAGAATATATATACTGCACAACAGAACACACAGAGTCATTGTCATTGCTCTTCAGGAATTTATATGGTAAAGCAGAAAAATACATCTTTCTTAATTTAGTAGATTGGTGTTTATTGCAAGGGACTGAGGACATATTCTGAAGGGTGATCTCTTGTTATCATTTAGCACCATTAGAAATTAGAAAGTAGAGGAAGAGAGAGGGTTTGCACTCAGACATTGAAAGGTCATTCAATATAAGTAGGTGAGGTAGGCAGAATGATGGCCCCATCCAAAGGTGTCCACGTCCTAGTCCCTAGAGCTCATGAATATGTTATCTTACCTGGCAAAGGAGAACAGTGATGGTAGATGGAATTAAGATTTCTTATCATTTCACCTTAGAATTGGGAAATTATCTTGAATTACCCACATGGACCCAGTGTAATCACAATGGCCCCTATAAAGGAAAGAGGCCTGAAGACGAGGGGTCAGAGTGATATGACATGAGAAGGTTCAACTTTCTGTTACCTCTTTGAAAGTCAAGGAAGGGGCCAAGAGCCAAGGAAGGAGTGTAGCCTCTTGAAGCTGGAAAAGTCATGAAAATGTACTCTCCCTAGAACCCCCAGAACAGAAAGCAGCCCTGCCGACACCTTGATTTTAGCCTAGTAAAGCCTGAGTCAGACATCTGACCTTCAGAAGTCTAACATAATAAATTTCTATTGTTTTATGCCACTAAGTGTGTGACAATTCTTACAGCAGTAACAGAAAATGAATACAGTAGAATTACAGGAAGATAAATGCAATCTCATCAACTAAGGAGGAAGCTATTGCAGCAAAGAAGATGAGGAAATAGTTTGTGGGATGCAAGCCAAGGATCCAGGTGTCAGACACTGGGTAGAATTAGCAAGGTCCTGCTCCCTTTTCCAAGGACACAACCACCAAAGTAGAAGTAGCTCGTGGCCAACCAGAAGAAGAGAGAAGGCCAAAGAAGGAAGGCAGTATTGAACACCTGTGAAGTAGAAGGACCAAAGATTCAAAATTCAAGGGAAGGTATAAGATAACAAGAGATTCTTAAAAACTTATCATTAATGCTACCCAGTTTTTGATGGGTCAAGAATATTGGAGCTTCCTTAAGTTAGAAAATGCATACAGCAAAAGTTTAAATGGAGCACATTACTTTATTCAGGTGGGTCCCACTTTCTAAATAAAAATTGATTTTTTTTTTTTTTTTTTTTTTTTGGTGTGTGGATGTAGTTGAAAGGAGAATGGGACTTAGTAGAAAAAGCTTTTATAATTGCAGTAATTTTGTTGCTGTAACAAATTTTACATTTAAACTTGGTAAAAATGTACATTCATTCCCAAGAAAGAACAAATTTGCAAAAATATACAATTTTCTTTACAGCTATTTTCAATTACAAAGACTAATTCACATGTAGAAGTATAAAGAAAGTAGTTGAAAACTCCATTCATAAAAATTTATTCCACTTATATTAAACACATGTTTTTTAACAACTATTCTTGTACTGTTCATGAAAATTTCATAAGACATTAAATAAAGGCAATCATTGTGTCAAGTTGAATCCCTGTTGTGTTAGTTATCTGTTGTTGTTGTTATGTGCCATCGAGTCAGACCCGACTCATAGCAACCCCTCCTTGGGTTTCTGAGGCAGTATCACTACTGAGGTAGATTGCCCAACCTTCCTTCTGAGGAGTGGCTGGTGGGTTTGGACCGCCAGCCTTCTGGTTAGCAGTCAAGTGCCTTAGGCACTACGCCACCAGAGCTCCTTGTTAGTTATCTGGTGCTGCTATAACAGAAATATCACCGGTGGATGCTCTAACAAACAGGTATTTATTTTCTCACAGTTTAGGAGACTGAAGTCTGAATTCAGAGTGCTGACTCTAGGGGAAGACTTCCTCTCTCCCTCAGCTCTTGAAGAAGGTCCTTGTCTCCTTAGCATCTGCTTCCTGGTTCTTGGAGAGCTCCGTGTGTCTTGGAATCTTTCTTATACCTATTTCTGCTTGCTTGCTTGTTTAATCTGTTTTATATCTAAAAAATGTTTGACTTATAAGACTCATCTTACACTTATCCTGTCTCATTAATGTAACAAAAACAACCTATTGCCAAACAGGGTTATAACAATAGGTGGAGAGGTTCTTATGGTTATATACAACACATATTTTGAGGGGGGACACAATTCAATCCATAACTCTTGCTAACTATTTTTACAGCACATACATGTTAGGGCAGTACTTTT